GTGCCTAGGAGGAGCAAGCATCCCCTGTCGACAAGTCACACTCGTCGTGAGCTGATCAGATTGACGGAGCATTCCGTAGTCAAATTCAATATAATTTTTTTTAAACAAGAGGGCCATGGGCCACATCGCTCACATGAGAAGTTATGTAAAACTTTAATTCCCCATGTGACCCCGCCCTACCCCCCGGGGGCCATGTTTGAACAATTTAGAATCTATACTACCCCAGGATGCTTCCACATAAGTTTCAGCTTTTCTGGCCCAGTGGTTCTTCAGAAAAAAATTTCCAAACATGCATTTTTCCTATGTATTTCTATGTAAAACTTTGATTCCCCATTGTGGGACCGCCCTACCCCCGGGGGTCATGAATTGTACAATTTAGAATCTACACTAACCCAGGATGCTTCCACATAAGTTTCAGCTTTTCTGGCCAGGTAGTTCTTGAGAAGAAGATTTTAAGATTTTTTCCTATATATATTTCTATGTAAAACTTTGATTCCCCATTGTGGCCCCGCCCTACGCCCGGGGGTCATGATTTGAACAATTTAGAATCTACACTACCCAAGGATGCTTATAGATAAGTTTCAGCTTTTCTGGCCAGGTAGTTCTTGAGAAGAAGATTTTAAGATTTTTTCCTATATATATTTCTATGTAAAACTTTGATTCCCCATTGTGGCCCCGCCCTACCCCCGGGGGTCATGATTTGAACAATTTAGAATCTACACTACCCAAGGATGCTTATAGATAAGTTTCATCTTTTCCGGCCCAGTGGTTCTTGAGAAGAAGATTTTAAAAGATTATTCCTATATATTTCTATGTAAAACTTTGATTCCCCATTGTGGCCCCGCCCTACGCCCGGGGGTCATGATTTGAACAATTTAGAATCTACACTACCCAAGGATGCTTATAGATAAGTTTCAGCTTTTCTGGCCCAGTGGTTATTGAGAAGAAGATTTTCTAATGACCCCACCCTATTTTTGTCTTTTCTTGATTATCTCCCCTTGTGAGGGGATCTGGCCCTTCATTTTAAGAATTTAAATTCCCCTTCACCCAAGGATGCTTTGTTTCAAGTTTGGTCAAAATTGGCCCAGTGGTTCTTGAGAAGAAGTCGGAAATGTGAAAAGTTTACAGACGGACGGACAGACAGACGGCTCAGGTGAGCTAAAAATCAATTTATCTCTCTGTAGTCTGTCCCGGTTTTCAGCAATTTCAAGTGATTTACAGGGTTCAGTGTTGCATTTAAATGATAATTTTCCGTGAAAGAAATGTTTCAATCCTAGCTCTAGCAACATTTCAAATTAATTACAGGCCTATGGCAAAATAAAAATTAAAAAAAAAAATCATAGCGTCAAAGCATGCTTCGAGCACTTTCCTCAATACATATTCTACGCACATTTAGCAAGAGTATTCGGACTTTAAGAATGTGCATGTCGACAGTTTTGTTAAGACTCCGGTGAAAATTTAAGTAAGGGAACGTAATTTTAAGTGCTTCTTCTTACAAAACTTTTGCAAGTAGAAAAAGAAATATCTTTCCATTGTCTTTCATTATTTCTTCTGAAAAATGTAGCTATGATCCTCTCTATTGAAAAAAAAATGTAGTTATAGCATCCTATGTATGGAAATATATTTTAAATTGATTTTTTAATTGTCGTACGTTATGTCTAGGCTTATATTTCGGCTTATCTACCCAGTTTCTTTAATTAATTTCTACTTAAATCTTTCTATTTTCAGATGGAAAGAGAGAATTCGAACCAGTGACGTTTTGAAATGAAGTTTGTCAAGTCTCATTAGTGAAAATTTTTTAGCAATCAATATATGTTGTAAAATAGAAACTATAGTTTATTTGATTCATCAACATTGTTTTGTACTTGTTCAGATGTTTATGCCCCCGTAATCGAATCTAGTATAGAAGAACTTTGTCCATAGCTTTTAAGTTCCTATTGGTTGGAGATTTGGCTTTTTTAAGGTGTGATTTTTTTCCCTTTGATCTTTGGAGTTTGACCAATTGCAACTTTCATAAAAACTCCATCCCTAGTTACAACTTTTGAATAGTTGATTTTAGTGCTTTATATTTCAAAGGTATTTTCCTTGTGACAAGACCTTCCGTTAGATACTAACAATATTAACCTTGACTTTTGAGTTTGACCCACTTCTGAAATAAATTACTAATCTTTGGCTACAGCTCTTGAGCAGTTGATGCAAAGGATTTTATATCTTGTGACAAGACCTTCCCTTAATAAAGACCCAATTTTTTTACCATTCATTTTTATCATTTTACCTTGACCTTGGAGTTTTACCTACTTAAAAAAAAACCTCGAACCTAGGCCAAAACTTTAAAACGATTAGTCAGTGCTTGACCTTTCATATTTCATAGATACTAGTATTCATTGAGACCAATAAGTTTATTTGGGTAACAATATGTTTTATCTCTTGACCTTGGAATTTGACTTGTGTTTGAGAAATTTTAACTTTGAATTTGCCATAAGCTGCCATACGGGGGAATCAATCTTTCAAAAAACACATCTTGTTTTAGATAAAAATGAAGTTTGCCTAGTTCAATTTATTTTGTATGGTGTTACAATTACTCTTGTTTCCATATTCTAAAAAAAAATATTCCTTTTTGTTCACAGAAATTCCTACATGTATGTCAACGATTTTTGTATATGTAAGAGTTATTTCTCTTTTTACGCATTCCGTAAACAGGTTAAGTACTCACACTTTCTACAGTGGCGGATCATTGCAACCCCCCCCCCCCCCTTTGGATTTGCAAAAAAGAAAGAAAAATAAGAAAGTTCCAATTTTTTGTTGTGTTTTTACTATAGAAAATGTAAGGTGAAAGGCTAATGTTGTAATATATAAAGAAATTCGGTTGTAAAAACAAAATAAAACCCCATCCCTTTACAAAATAGGATTTTCGGGTTCGGAGATTTATTTTCCTTTCTTTTTCAAAAACTTTCTGGTAATGTATACAAGTACTTTTTCCCAGATTGATAAACGTCCCACTTTCAAAAACCATACTCCACCCTGTATCGATATTCTATTGAGTTATTTAACTATATGTATGTGTACAACGTACGTTTAAACTGTTTTCGCCTTCAACCCCCCCCCCTTTGAAAAATTTCTGGATCCGCGCCTGTTCTACCTACAGACTGTTCAGGTATATTGTTGTTATACTGGTCCATCTGTCTGTCGGTCCGTTAATATCTGGATATTATTAATCTTTCCGGGACATAAACATGATAAATACATGGCTAATTATAAAATAGAGTCGTCAGGCAACCTTCAATGCCGCCTTTATTCAAATCCAGACTGCATCATAAAACAATTATCTTAATATGGACTCTTATAGTGATGGTTTAATATTAATCAGAAAAATATCAATATTGACCTCAGTTTTCCTGGTCAATTTGGATATTTTTGGTGAGAATATTAGACCATGTTCATGTCCAAAGGATTTTGTACGTATATATTATATTCTTTGCAATTTGAAAAGTGTTAAAACTATACATGACCAAAGGAAAATTAGCTGTCAGAGACAAAAAGTATGTGTGATTGGGAAGAATTGGTATTTACTTAATTTAAGCTTGTTCCCACTTAATACTCTTCAAAACAACCATGGGATTAAGATAAAAGCTTTCCACATTTAATACATATCTTAATTTCAGTAATGTATGCTATTAATTAACAGTGAACAAAATAAATAACTCAAAAGCAGAAACATTCCTTTTTTTAAAAACAAATTTAAAATATTCAACAAATAATGACCAAAATCAATTAACATCATTGATTATAATCAAACATAAATGATTAAAAGTCCAAAAAGTCCCTGATAAGATGTAAAGGAATTGGTTTCCACCTGAAAGATTGAGGGGGCATACATTGGCTTGTAACATTTCTTTTTTGAAGTTAAAACGCTTGAATTCAATAGGTAGGCCTTTCAACTAATTTTTCAAGTTGCACATATGGTAAAAAACATTGCATAGATAGATTTATAGGTACATGAAATTATCAAAAAAGATAATAACTTATGCATACATTTAATTACATCATAAAAAAGTTTAATTATTTATAATTTACTTTTCCGATGTTGTGTTTTAAGGATAGGTAACTCAGGTGTGAAAAATGACCAACTTAGTGCCCATTTATGAGTTATCGTTTATAGGAATGACATATAGGCTGCTTCAGCATTGGTATTGTTATGTACACAAAAGGGTTCCTTACATTGTTTTGTACACAAAAGTGTTGACCATGAGAAAGAGAATGCCTTCACTCTACCTGAAATAACAGGGTCAAATAGATCGGGAACAGACTATATTCAATATTTTTAACTCTCTTTGACGATTATTATGAAGAAGAAAAAGAAAATTTCATGCCGTGTTTTTTGTTTTCGCGTGTTTTCGCTTCCTATATAAATATAATATATTTTTACAAGTAAATGCAGCAATTGATCATCTTACTTGTGTTACTAAGCACGAAGGGGAACGACCGAGTATAAAAATTTAATTAGGTTAGAACTAAGAAGGAGGGTAGATTTCACTTTTTATTTTAATTAAAACTTTTAATTATATGAAGTGAAATGGTGTCCGCAACTATACAGTAAATAAGTTTAACATTGCATGGTGCTACGTTTTAAAACCACTGGATTCTACTGAGAGCAAAGAAACACTTGGGAAATGCTAAAAACTACCTTGCGAGTAAACAGTTAGATACCCTGAGCCTACTCTCAACACGTTTCAACAATGAGTTATCGTTCATAAAACTGACCCCTAGCGGCAGTTGAAAGGCCTACAATAGGTCTGATCCATATCAATCAAAATCTATTCTTAAAGCATTACATACATGTACATATACTGTACCTTTACTTCGTTTTGAATCATTTTTTACAAAAATCAGCAAATTTTACTTCAGGAACATTACACTTTTTTGGAGAATGTAATTATGCAATGTCAACAAAATTCTATGAAAACTGACAAAATGGTATAAAACAAATGGTAAGATTATTTGCTTTTTACAGTCAAATCTTATCTCTAACTAAATCTTACATAAACAAAATGTGGTCGGGACTTTCAACTAATTTCCATATATGCATGGTATTCTGACAAAATATTTATGTTTGAAATGCTGCTGTTCAACCACTATGTATTTGAACTTAATTTTCCAAGACAAAGCAGAATCTGATATAATCCTGATGAGATGCTTAGTCAACACATACTGTAAAATCACATATTTTTGTGGGGTGAAATTATCGAGGTTTGAGGAAAGAATACTGGTTTGTAGGGTTTTGATTTTGTGGTTGGAAAATGTTTAGTAGTAATGCATACAAAATTTTATACCTTCTGGTGGTCATAAATTCGTGGGTCTCTCCATACCTCAAAAACAAAGGAAATTAAACCCCATGAAAATTAATGATTTCACAGTATTACTAACCTCTCATGGTCTTGGACTTAAGTAATAAAAGAAACCAAGTCAGCTATAACATTTTTGTAAATACAGTGGACCTTCAGATATCCGGATGCTTCAGTATCCGGACGATTTTTCATCGGAACGAAATTTTAAAATGTTATCCTGTCTTGTTTAACTGGTGATTCAGATATCCGGATGCTTCACATATCCGGACAAATTGACTGGGAACCAAAGCGTCCGGATAAATGAGGGTCCACTGTAGATAAAACTAATAAAGAAGTCTAGTATTCCTAGTCAGCTATTGTAAATAAGCTCCTTTAGGGGGGACAGGGACTTCCGTGGGGTCCAGCCCGGCAGACTTCATCTGTACAGCAATGTCAAACAGGTAGTCATAACACTCACACCTGAAAACAAATATATCATATGTCAGATTGTACATTTAGCCATAACATTCACAGCCGAAAAGAAACTAAGTATTTCATAAAACTATGAAACTTCTGCATATTACATGTAATTTGAACATCAATCTCTAGAAGCATTAGTATCATACATACATTAAATTTATCACATATCCTTAGAATGTTAAATCTAAGGTCTAAAAAGGATATTAAAATTCACTGATTTTCTTTTTCTTATCCTGTTTAAAATTTCTTTCATGTAAATTAATTATGTTTAAATATCATTCCTATGTAACAATATACATTGTTTTGGCTTTCTCCCATGACTCTCCCCACACATAAACACCATGACGACGAACAAGAACAGCACTGGATTCTGGGTAATCTTTCATAGCACATGACATTCTTTCCTAAAATCAGATATAAAATAATTCCGAAAGAAAAAAAATACAGTAAAATTTGGTTATAACAAATCAGGGACCCGTGAAATTACTTCGCTATATTTGTAATTCATAATACAAATGCATCTGTAAAAGGAATTTGTAAAAGTTATATAGTTGGGGATCTAACAAAACTTTGCTAAATCCGTCAATTCACAATATCCGTGTTTGTACTAAATGAGTATTACTGTAATTATATAACTTTAAATGCACCTTATGTCATTTCCATCTATTACAATTCAAATATTTGATGATAGACAATGAAATAGGTGGGTACAATTTAACAAAACTGAGAAAGCATTGGATTGAAATTCTACTTTTTTTTATTCTCTGCTGAAAAAAAAATAAAGGGGAGGGGAAAGCTGGGGCTATCTAACCTAAAAATAAGGTTCCTGCTTATTTCCATATCTAACCCCTTTCTCTGGCCCAAATCTTATCCATTCATTATTTCTTTAAAACATTGGACAGAAAACTTTGATTTAATATAAAAATCTAAAACAAGTACAAAATTGGCTTTATTTTTCTTCTGGACTAATCACGAACATTTTGCATATGAGAGTAAGCAGCTGAGGTGGCTTGAAAATAAATTTCCAACTATTATTTAATACAACTGTTTTCTCAGATACCTGCACCCAATTGAACCCACCCATACAGCCATTTTATTTTCTATTATGAAATATTTTGACAGATGGGAATGACATACCGGTAAGCTGCATTAAATAATGTTCTGTGGTTTTACATTATTTTATATAACAACAGAAAGGATTTCATTATTATAAATCACTGGTGATAATGGTCATTATAAAGGATATGGGATAATTAGTTATTGGCTTGCAAGTTATTTTAGATAATCTTTATGAATCTTCTTAACTTTACCTTCGATCCTCAAAGTAAACATGATGAAAAAATAAATAACAACACACTACTCATTACATAAAAGTTAAAATGATAAACAATTTTTTTCAAATAACTTGAAACCAGATACAGAACATCTTTCAAATGATTTATAGAAATATTTTTTAAAAATCATTCAGGGTTTTATAAACAAAAATTATAGCCTACATTATCATTTAAATTAATTGCTAGTAGATAGTTATTTTCACTAAAATCTCTGAGTCTTAGTATTTAGTATTAATAGATACATTTATTACATTTTTAAAAATGAAATACTGTAATTTATTCATTGAATAAAAATGATATTCTGTCACAGTGTGACAAATATCAGAAGCACGGTAAAACTTGATTTTCCTTCCAATAACAAAGAATGTCATAAAAAATACTCCCTGGTCTGTTAGAAAATAAATAAACAATTCTGACATTGAATTAAACTGCCAAAGATCCCCCCAATATGTTGTTGAAATCCTTGTTTACATTTTCAATCTCACAACACTTAGCTATGATGTCTCAACCGCTCAACTATGACGTCATGTAGCCTATGACTGCATTAGAAAAAGACAGAGGAAAAGGGAAAATCAAAGAAAATCTAATAAACAGAAAATTCAATGTTTTGTAGTTGAATATTATGCAATTTATTTTACTCGTGAGACAGGATTTCTTTAAATATTTTCACTTGTGCTTGGCACTCGTGAAAATAAAAAAAAAAAATCCTGTCCCACTCGTGAAATAAATTCCATATTCAACTATAAAACATTGAATATCCTCTATGTATATACTTATCTAAAAGAGTAAATTTTATAGTTTAAAGACAATTTTCTCACATACTGCCCATCATTATCATGATTATGATCAAGACCTTGCTTTTTTAAAAGACCTTGGTTCTTGGTCATGATACATCCCCAGATCATAGGCAACCTTTCGGTCAATTACCTGGTGCACATTCTTTAGTACATCGCAACATTCTATTCTGAACAATCAATCTACTATTACATTATCAATCTTTATTACAGATTTTGTGACCCCCCAAAAAAGTTATCTTTCAATTACTGTACATAAGAAGATTTTTTAAAGAGGATTTAATCTTGGCATTATTAGCAAGAGTTTGAGATTGATGCTTCAATTGAATATTGCTAACAATTCATTCAATATTGGTTGTTATAGCTTTTTCTCTTCAAGAGCTCTCTTGACAATTAAAAATTACTTCTTGCTAAAATATATACCTGTATTACCAATTTTTGCAGTTGCTAAATTTGCTTCTTGCTAAAATTTCCACTTGTATGGTACATTAAACTCAAATAAGACAATAGAAAGGTAAATTTATTTCTGTTCACATTATGAAGATCTTGCTGTGTACTGAATGAGAACTAGTACCTTTAAATCTTTTTCCAAAGGTGTATTTTCTATGATGGGAACAACCAATTCTTCATCAAACCTGTAGTATTGATCTAAAAACATGAATTTTTTATAAGAAAATATACCATTATTTTAAGTGGCATCCTATTATTTAAGTGTTCAGTGGATTAATTCTTTATTCAACAAAAGATGAAAAAGTTATAAGAAAGGCTGAAAATAGATTTGCTGAAACCTGATTTGCACTTTTTGATGCCTTTTATCATTTCTTGGTGGGTAATTCTGAATTCTGTGCCAGGGTACAAAAGTGTTGCCATGACAGCTGCTTTGGAATGTGTGTGAATTACTGCTCCTGCATCTAAACATCATAAAAAAAAAACTTTAGATACTGCACTTTAAATGTTTAGGGGGAAATTGCCTTCAGTCTTACTCAAAGTATTTTTTGCTTTGATATCTTTATTCGCATTAATTTTTCTAATGTGACATTCTGTATATCAGGTATGTATTTCAATGTCTACCTCTCATTTTGTAGGAGCACATGAACAATGGTGTACACTGACTCTTCTTTAACTTTTTAGCCGGAGGAGGGGCACTTATGTCTTCATCATCAATCGTTTGTACAAACATGTCATCTGGCTGTAAATCAAGGGAAATGTCGAAAGTATTTAAGTAATAAAAAAATCAACTCTGCAACATGTATAATAGTATCAAAGTACTAAGGATTAATATTTTAGAGACTAATAAAATTTAGCCATTTTTCTGAAAAAAATAACATTTTCAAGCAATCATAACAACATTTAATATTTTTAGCACTGAAGAGAACATCACTAATAATGGCATTATACATGTATGGTATTTGATTTTTTATACATTTGCCCTAGTACATCATTTTGAATTAAAACCCATTTCAATGTTATGATTGTTAAAAAAAATTAAAATAGTAATGTTTTAATTGACTTTATAAAACAGTTACCATATAAAGCATCAAATACCTGTGTTCTCTCTTTCTGGACACCTGAAGGAGCTATGTAAATCTCTTCTCTACAATTATAATAGTAAAAGATTAATCTTTCATTACTTAACTAAAGTATACTTCCTCAGAATTCAATGACAAACAATCAATTTCAAAAAATAACATGTAAGACAAATGAAATTCTTTCATTGTAAAAATTTCAAATTATGTTTTGTATTTAAAAATCTTGTGAAGAACATAGCTCAGTAGTATTAAATGTTTGGCAAGTAACTCAGGCCAACAATAAACAAGAGGCCCATGGGCCACATCGCTCACCTGAGAAGCTTTGCCCATTCCGTTCTTTACCAGATTTCCCCCTTGTAATACATATTGTGACCCCACCCTACCCAAATGATCATAATTTAAACAACTTGAAATCTACACTACCCCAGGATGCTTCCACATAAGTTTCAGCTTTTCTGACCCAGTGGTTCTTGAAAAGAAGATTTTCAAAGATTTTTTCTATATATTTCTATGTAAAACTTTGATTCCCCATTGTGGCCCCGCCCAACCCCAGGGGGTCATGATTTGAACAATTTAGAATCTACACTACCCCAGGATGCTTCCACATAAGTTTCAGCTTTTCAGGCCCAGTGGTTCTTGAGAAGATTTTCAAAGATTTTTCCTTTATATTTCTATGTAAAACTTTGATTCCCCATTGTGGCCCCGCCCAACCCCCGGGGGTCATAACTTGAACAATTTAGAATCTACACTACCCCAGTATGCTTCCACGTAAGTTTCAGCTTTTCAGGCCCAGTGGTTCTTGAGAAGATTTTCAAAGATTTTTCCTTTATATTTCTATGTAAAACTTTGATTCCCTCTTGTGGCCCCGCCCAACCCCAGGGGGTCATAATTTGAACAATTTAGAATCTACACTACCCCAGTATGCTTCCACATAAGTTTCAGCTTTTCAGGCCCAGTGGTTCTTGAGAAGATTTTCAAAGATTTTTTCTTTATATTTCTATGTAAAACTTTGATTCCCCATTGTGGCCCCGCCCAACCCCCGGGGGTCATGATTTGAACAATTTAAAATCTTCACTACCCCAGGATGCTTCCACATAAGTTTCAGCTTTTCTGGCCCAGTGGTTCTTGAGAAGAAGATTTTTTAATGACCCAACCCTATTTAATTTGTCTTTTCTTGATTATCTCCCCTTGTGAGGGGACATGGCCCTTCATTTTTACAATTTAAATTCCCCTTTACCCAAGAATGCTTTGTACCAAGTTTGGTCAAAATTGGCCCAGTGGTTCTTGAGAAGAAGTCGAAAATGTGAAAAGTTTACAGACGGACGGACAGCTAGACAGACAGACGGACGGACGACGGACAAAAAGTGATCAGAAAAGCTCACTTGAGCCTTCAGCTCAGGTGAGCTAAAAATGATTTGTTTGATATATTATGGCCGACCAATCAAAATCACCCTTACCCAATCATTTTTTTTTAGTAATTTGAATTTTGAATTTTTTTTTGTTTAGTTTCCGGGAAAATAGACATGGTTTCATTTCAAACATACATAATTTCTTAAATAAGTTTTTCAATGAATGTTTTTTTTAAGCAATACATGTATAAACATGATAAATACTAGATCTGCCTTGTCCAATGTAAAATAATGAAAACCTCAAAAAAAAAGTCTGTAGGTTTTTCATGATAATAAACAATTTATGGGATAGCAAGAAAAAAACCTTATCTACCTACCAACTTTAAAATATAAGGGATGGAGTACCAGTACATGCTACGCTGGGGGTATTTCTGCACTGGACAGGTAACTAATTGAAATCAATGATCTTCATACACTAAGCTATAGAGAACTGTGTATAAGTTTCAGTCTTTGGAACCTTGAGGCTCAGAAAAGGTTTTAACCTTTATCTATATTTTAATTATACTGACAGGTAGATAAGATAATTGAATTATGTTTAGGGATGATGTCACCACAATAATAATACATCCTCAATAGTTGCAATGTAGCACATCATGCACAATGAGGCACTTGAAAATTGCCGAGACACAATTTCGAAGCATTCTAAAGAAGAAGCACTGAAAATAACAACCAAATAATCATAACAAACCTTGATCAGCACATTTAAAATTCTCAAAATTTCTTCCTTGCTTTAAATTTTTCATGCTGTGCCAATTTGGAACTATATGGATTGTTCTATAGCATAGATTTAGAAATATTTGCCCAGTTATTTGCTTCATACCTATAATGAATCAGAAAGAATTCTATCAGTAAAACTATGACAATATTATTTTAGGTACAAAACATTTTATCTAACTGGCAGGGGTCACTATCTTTATATGGTACAATGTAACTGCTCAGTTTGACCAATATCTCATGAAAACTACAGACCATTGGTACTTGTTTCTGTAATGAATTTCTTAACCTACAGCATAAAATTAGAGCACAAGGTACTAACTCTAAATGACACGGAGAACCCCATCCCAGAATGTTTTTGGTTTTTAAAATTTGCTCTCTGCAAGTCTTGGAGTTTAGATGCCTTGTGTTATTTTTGTACTATGGTTAAAAAAAATCAAAATACCCGTACTAACTGACCCATATTTGATGCTGATCCCTCCTCCTGTTCCAGTTACCCAGCCTAAATCATAAAACTGCCGCAGGAGAGCTGGGATAAGATTCCGCGGATGTTCCTGAAAAAATAGCAATGCATTCGACATGTTCAACGAAATAATTATGTTTCTGACACAGGAGATATAAACAGTCTGTTAAATCTAGCAATTAGAAAAATCTATCCGTTACATCGTTTTAATAAGGCATTGTACTAGTACTTATGAAGCAAATTAAGTTATTTAATATATCAGATTTCGTCTGTGTATAAGCTTTGGCAAACTTTGGTTTGCAACTTCTACTTTAACATAACGTGCTTCTATCTCGATTCATTCATAGCAAGAATAGTACATTAATCAGGAATATGATCATAATATTGTCAAAGGCAAAGTAGCTTATGATATGAAAAAATAGGTACCTCAGGATACCGTTTATCCATGCCGATAAGTTGGTACACATGAAATTGAAAGTAGAACGTGCTAATTAATAACTAAAAACAGAGTGATAAGATGGGAAGAATTATATCCGGATTTATAACGTCAACCAGTGCTTTCTGTTCATATAAAATCTGATCATTTATTGTATCTTTTGGATGTTATAAGTAGGTTTTTTTACTTATCTTTTTATACCTTTTTCATTAGTAATCAGCATAGACCTATTTTTACACGGAGACAAACCAAGTGTGCCCCCTCCACATCAACAAAGAAAAAAAGTTGCAGACCATATTTTTTCAAAAATGGGATTATCCCGTCCGTAAACATTCATGTATGATACTTAGTGTCTTTCTATGAAAGGATGCTCTATTCTTACCGCTAGTCAAGTATATGTACGCATTCATGTACTGTATGCGTACAGGTCTGAATGTATGAATACTTTCTAAGACGAGGTGAGTTATTGACAAACAAGTTGATAAAACAAGAATATCAGCAGTCTCGCCATGTATATGTTTTGTCAATAGAATTTCAAGCATCATTTTAATATCATCTTTAGAGTACTTGTTCGTATACGAAGAATGTTTTTTTAACAAAATAATTTTTGCAAGTGATCAATGAAAAGGAAGGTAAAATTAAAGATCCATTTTATTGAAAAGGCAGCTGTCAATGGTATCAAAAAGCCTAAACTTTAATTTAACATGGAGAATGGTTGTATGCAGAGTTGAATAGTCGTAAATTTTAATGTTCTCGATTTTGGCAACTTCCTTTGGATTTTATCCATATCTGATTAACACCACTTCTCGAATACACTGTGAACAGTACTACTGAAGTTTCTCCTTCTGCTCTGAATATCTTATTGAAGAGTCAAGAAGGAGGCTATAGAATAATAGATAAACATTTACTGGAACCCGCTCTGTGTCCTATATGCTATAAGTAAAAAAAATAGATAGCTTTAATTTATCCAAAACACACGATTAAATGTTTACTGAAGATTACAAAATCTCATACAAAAGTTTTTTCCATCAATTCCTCTAAAAGTATTCTCACGTGTAATTGTTTAATCACATTATTATTTGATGTGTACCTCATCATGAGTGGTAAAACAGTCTGATATTAAAAAAGAAATTAATTCAATATCATTAAAATAATACTTACAACTCTTCCATGATCTTCCCTACACAGCTCAACAACAAAACTGGTCTAAATCTATAAACTGAATCACAGAAGTAATTCCATATGACAGATTTTTAAAAAAATGATATTAAGAAAATACAGCAATGAAGCAGCGCAGAAAAAGTGTTTACTTCGAAAATAAATTATACAAAAGATCTAAACAAAGAATATAAAAAAAAATCGTTTACATATAATCCGTATTTGTAAAATTTTAATGCAGTTTCGTCTCTTCTCTCTTCCAAGGTGTTTGTAATTAATGTTTGTAATTCTATGAAATCAAAGGATAAGTTCAATTATAAATAAAAAATCACATTATATGCGAATAAGTCAGACAGCCATATTGAGTTTGGCCATCCTCCAAAACAGAGGCCGCCTAGACCCAGGTTAAGGTGTGGACCGGTGTAACAAAGAACTTAACCTGGGTTAAAGTAAGCTGGAACACCCCCCCCCCCCTCCGCCCATTTGACCTCCACTAAAACAATATATCCTTCCACATATTCTTCCTAGTCTGCCACAAAGACCATAAATCTTAGATGAGCTCAATTTATATATCTCAGTCTCATTTTTCTATTATACACATATATTTCCATTCCTACTTTTTTTTTCTCTCTGATAACTTTTTGAAAGTTGCCGGAGTTGATTTCTTGATAATTCTACCGGAATGTAAATTAGGCAGGTCGATAGGTCAAGAGCTAAGAAGGCCTAATATGCATGCAAATCTCGTGCGCATATGTCTCTGTGTCTGACGCTAAGGAGGCCCGCTACGCATAAATTATCCCATGTCTCCCACTATCGTTGATGTCCTTGGCATACTATACTAACTAGACAGTGATTCCTTGCATTTCCATTTCATTGTGAAATGAAACTGTAGATTTAGATTTTAAAATGTGAGACATAGATTTAAAGTACACGAGGACTCTCATGCCAATTTCATAAGTCCTTGGTCACTGAAGTCTAACACAATGCAGCCGCACGGGCTTTACTTGCATGTTTTGCCCCCTTAGCGTCAGACACAGAGACACATGCGCACGAGATTTGCATGCATATTAGGCATATTTATGCAAATTATCCCATGCTTCCCACTATCGTTGATGCCCTGGCATATTATACTAACTAGACAGTGATTCCTTAAGTATTCCATTTGTAAAAGTGAAACTGAGATCAACATTGAGCTCATCTTAGAAGTTTTTTGGCCCCGGAGCAGATCTGCTTAATTCTTTCCTATGTTGTGCCTCCTCACAGTCTTCTCAAAAAGCTTTGTCAACTCAGTGGCTACCAGCGGCTTAGCCTGTTTGCAACACGCCATTTTGTCTTATGTCTCAATGTTGTAGCTTTCATTTGTAGAATAAAAAGCTCCCCATTCATATTCAAATTTATTTCCCAGTTTAATTTCCAAGTCTCCTACTTTATGATGGACCAACGTATTCCATCCTCTTTTGTTCTTAGGTTTGCACCCTCTCTGAAGAAAGTTGACGATGCTTAACTACGTACTTGATTATTCTCTCCTAGCCTTCTACAACTCTCCAGATACGAGTAGTGTTTTAAAGAATTAATCATTCCTCTACCCGTATCGGACTTGCATCAGTTCGACGTACATGTAGCTTCTCCGCACATCATCCATGCAGGATCTTCTGTGACTCCCACAATTATAGATTATTTGGTGAATAGAGCTCATATACCAATCACAATGAAAAGCCTACTAGTATTCTGAATTACTCAGTAGTTCATCTTCCATAGGTCCGACAAGTAAAATTGCATAGGTTGTAAAAGCTCCAGTCTGATCCAAGCCGAAGGCCCATGATTGATGAGTTTTGGTGCCCCTGATCTTAAGGCATTTTTATCCTCTCCACCTTTCATCTCTCCTTACTCCTCCCCGAACCACGTTCCTCCTCTCGGGTTTAACAGTCTTGGTCCATTGTTCAAAATGTGACATACCAATTCTTTTTTCAACTTCCAAGTGTCGCTGATAATGTTTTACCATTTGACTATGCGTTAGGCTTTGTCAACTGCTGTATCCTCCAAACACTTGCGTCCTGATCCTGTCTGTAGACCAGCATCAAGTCTGGTCTCTTCAATCGCCGATGATAGGGATAACTGTCCATGACCATTTCCTACACCTCTGAATCTCCCTTGACCACAGGAAAGCTAAAAGACACAAGAAAGACTAGAGGATGGTGTGGCCTAAGATGGACAATGCCACAAGTAGGAAAAGGTAAGACATAGACAACAGATATATAAAGGAAACAAGATCTTCAATAGGACACTTTTAAAAGAGAAAGGATCGTGAAATGTTGGGAAGAACTGATACAACTTGCCAGTAAAAGGCAATTCAAATTCTAGCTAAAGCTATGCGGCTCTGTTGAGTAATTCCTCAGGAAACGAGAGTTTTATCTTTCATAGCTATTTGTTGTGCTATCATGCTTCATGCATCTCAACGGTTGTAATAAATCGCTGGGCGTGAATTTTAATATTTCGAATTTTAATGGGGAATTATAGTAAGTGTTGAAAGATCTTGATGCTGTTGATTTGGTGAAGCTTTATGGCTCCCACCTTACATGTAGAAAGGACATTTTTAGCGATGTTATTTTCTTTGTATTACACAAAATGTATGTAAAAGTAGTTCTGAGAGGCTCCAGAAAGGACAATTATTCACTGGTTGTTGTGATCACGTGACCATTATAGAAGGTTATATATACGAGCAGCGAACGCCAGTTACACAACAACGATCATAACGATCAGATCATATTACGTCCTTAACATCACTGACTGTATAGCTGTAAATTACTAGCGACTTAGGTATAAAAATAATGTAAACTTTAATACAAAGTAGCGTATAATTTCTCCACCACACGTACACCGCAATCCACTGTATTTTATTAGGCCAGAGATATTAAGCTAGGACTTAGACTCATATAGATGTACTGACTGTCTTGTTTCATTGAAGTCTTTATTAAATGAAATATTTGAAACGAGAAATGGAACTTGGTTATGATTTACAAGGATGTGAAGTAAATTATCAAGGGTGTTTAAATACATGCGACGGGCTGAGGATGCCCCCCCCCCTTTTTTTATATGTGGACGAATGTCATGAGTATCCTGATAAAATTTAATTGATTGAATTTACACGGGATGGAAACACTGTAAGCTGATTGGCATTTGACAGGGTGCTGAGGAAGCTTACAATTTTTTGTGTCAGAAGTGGGATGTCCTGCCATATACAAGGACATCTAGGATACGAACCCGTACTTTAATACCTGTCAAGTACTGAAGTAGAGTGGATTGCGGACTGTCGTGTGGTGGAGAATAAAAAATCTATTTTGAAAATAGCGATGTATATATGTTCTTGTTACTGTTTTTATAGTTAAAAATGGAGGATGCTACTTCGCCGGATCCTGAAGTATTTATAAATGAACATAGGGAAAATGTTCAGTTGGGCCAAGGGGACGAAACAGATGTCTGTGGGAGGAACACTGATGACGAATATTTAATGGCAAATGAAAATCCTTTGGAAAGACATGACAGTGACGACGACGACGAAGTAGGACATAATTTCCGTCGGCGATCTGATGATCAGTTAGCTGACGACGCACGATAGTGATCACAATCGCATTTCTACACTTATGATCAAACCCGAACCCTACAATGGAAAAGAAAGTTGGGAGGAATACTTTTCTCACTTTCAAGACTGCGCTGAACTAAGCCACTGGGACGACAGGACAAAACTTCTTTTCTTAGCCGCTAGCTTACGTGGACAAGCCAGGATTTTCTACAAGAGCCTAGCTCCTGAGGAAAGACGCACGTTTAAAATTCTTGTTCAGCGTATGAACCAGAGATTTGGTAGCTCAAAACACAAAAATAGGTGGCTTTCAAAACTGGAA